TAAGGTATTGGTTCAAGATGCAAAAGAGATAAAAGAAGATGATTCGAAGAAATTAGAAGATGCAATGACTTAACTTAAAAGACAAAGTTTAGCTAGAAAGTACTTTGGAAATGATAGATTTGCCAATGATGATGATGATGATCAGTCCTAGAGTAAGAATTTTTAAACCTCTGATAATATAAAATTATAGTGAGTCCGGATGGCCCAGAGCAAAATGTCAACACTGATTTAAATGAGGTAGCAGAGGGCTATTCAAGAAATATTTTCAAAAACCTATTTAAGTAATTTCAGACTTAGACCTCATAGAATACTGTGAGCCAAAACTACTTTTCTCAAAGCAATTTTGACTTCCTAAATATAGAGGAATATAAAAAGCTTAAATCTTAGCTTAAGCAATTGCAAATATTGTTGTATAATATAAGAGATCAAACAGAAACTTAAGAAGTTAAAAAGTCCTAACTTTTCACTAGAATATAGGGAATTAATCATGAGAATATGAATTTAATAAATGAGGAAGAAAAGCTTAAAACTGAGCTAGATGATCTAAAGTCTTAGCTTGAATCTTTCAAATAAGTTACTAAAAAGGAACTAGAAGATACTTAAAATTTGAAAAGAGACTAACAAAAACACAAGATGAAGATAAATAAATTGAAATAATTCATTGCTGATACAGTGCTTAACAAAGGGAAAGAGATCCTAAAGAGAAGACAGGATGAATTGGAAAAGATTAGAGCAAAGGAGTAGGAGATAAGAGAGAAGGAGTAGGAAAAGAGAGAGAAAGAGGAAGAAGAAAGAAAAAGAAGAATGGAGGAAGAGCATAAAAAGAAAGAAGAGGAAGAGGCTTTGCTCTAAATGAGAAGAACATCCTATATTGATCCAACACTATCATCAATGATGAAAGATTCAGTGGTTATTGAGGAAGAGGAAAAATCAAACAAATACAAAAGAGAAAAAACAATGAGTCCACATAGAGCGAGACCTCCTCTACACCAAAAAGAGAGAAGTGTTAATAGATTAAAGACTGCAATGGGAACTATTGGAATAGGTGAAAACTAAAAATAAGCGATTTCTAGTCAAGAAAGAATTAGTGTTGCCAATAATTATACTGGCTTTAGAGGTTAAAGTGAAATGAGAGCATAAAGAAATATAACACTTGTCAATAGTAATGTAACTTCAAATATTGGATCACCTGATAAGAGATTTAACTAGACCTAGAATGAATTTAGCAGTCCAGATAAGGATCATTAAAAAAATAGAGGAATTCAAGGCTGGATTAGGGATTAAGAATTTCAAGACTTCAGCTCTAACAATATTGATAAAGACAATCCAAGTATTGATATTAATGATGATACATTCTAGTGAGAAAATGCTCCAACTAAAATAATATGCCAATGGCAAATTAACTTTAGTTTAACTTAATAAATTAACTTTATTTCATTATTCTAATATAACAATATCTAATTTTTAAAAAATTAAGATACTAGATTTTCCTTAAGGGGTTTTGGGGTTTTGGGGTTTTGGGG